TTATAGTAATTCAGAGTAAGGCAAGCCTAACAAGGCCTAGGTTGGGCAGGGCAGTTTTCAGGAGGGGTGGGGTGGGGTTGTGGGGGGGAGACATAAGCTGGGTATCAAAAGAAGACTTTTAAGAAGAATTGATGCTAAGCACAGAGAACACAAAGAAACTACTCCTGCTCTTTGGAACCATATGCCCTACCTTATACTAGTTATGTCAGTCAGTGATACCTAGACTGAACTGTATTAAAAGTGCAGTCAACTAAGGAGGAACTTATGAGCAGCTAACATAACAAGATATTAAAAGGGAAGTTTCTATTTAGAACCAAAGGCAACTGACATGTCAAAGCAGGTGACAGAATATTCTCAAAATTAAAAAAAAAAAGCAGTCTAAAGAGAGCAGTCTGGAGATGTGCTACCTCCTACACCCAATATTAATGAGAAAAGCCTCAAAGAGGTTACAAAGCAGGGTTTTGGAGAAGGTTTCCTTGAGGGAGAGCTACAGGAACAAGTGTCCTTGCCTTCAAGAGAAAGGATGGATGCTTGTCACTCACCTAAAGCCTAGAGGAAAAGGCTTTGTTGGGACCACTTGAAGATCTTAATATGTGTCTCAAGCACTTAGAAGAGCATACTGAAGTGGCACCTGATTCATTCTTGGAAAATCGAAAGGATGAGAAACTGGATGAAGAGGTATGTGAGACTGAATGAGAGATGCTGAATTGAGACCACTATCAGAGTCTGTCTGGACACAGAATGAATGGTCCCTATGGACCAAGATGGGCCCTATGGGAAAGAAACAGAGTAAGCTGGGGTGGGGTCATCCGGGTCTATCCAAGAGGGTTACCTGAAGCTTGAGCAGACCTTGGCAAAATAAACATGAAGGTCCTGCCAGATCTAAGAGGCTGAGGAAGGAGTAAGCAACCAGCCAGAATACACATGCATTCTCACTGTCAAGCAACCTGAGCTGAGGAATCCTGAGCAATGGAGGTAGGAGGTGGAAGATTCAGGAGTGAAAGAATGAGCTTTAAATGTGTGCCAAGTCTACAACAGCACTGAAGCTAGATTACCATGAACTATTCAAATAAATCTTACTGCTAGTCTTTCCTCTCTTCCCTTCTTTGCCCAGTGGGGGAGGGGAGGGTGTTAAACTAGGACTGGCAAGACAAAGCAAGACGAATAGAAAAGCCGAGTCAGAAGAAAAAAGTCAATGATGTTCCCCTTCCCCGATTATTGGCTGGGAATGGGCATGGGGGAGAAGCTTCATCCTTAATTTAGGTTTGGTTTAGGGTTTTTATTTGTTGGCACTGGACATTTTATTTTTATTTTTTTAAAGATTTTTTTTTATTTTTAAGTAATCTCTACACCCAACATGGGGCTCGAACTCACAACCCCAAGATCAAGAGTCACATGCTCTTCCAACAGAGCCAGCCAGGTGCCTGGACATTTTAATAATCAAATTGAGACTTCTGCAATTTAGTTACTGATGGACAATTTATATAATCTAAAAGCAACCGGAAAAGCCAAGTTTATCTATGGGCAGAGGATGAGCCAGCCTCAGAGAGTAAACTGAAAGGGACAGTGAGTAACACAAAAAAAGCTGTTTTACAATTACTTTCCACAAGTCTTGCTTTTCACCCTAATGCACTAAAGAGGCAACACAGTGGAGAGTAGAAAAGTACACAAATGTGATCCTACTAAACACAATTCAGCCCATTCAGCGTCTCTGCCTATCCTGAGATAGTTCAGCCATTAACAGTCCCAGAAATTTGCCATTACATGACTCAAAAATCTAACAGTAATTCTTAAAATTTACTAAGAGTAGCCTAAATATAATAGATTCTCTTTAAAGGCAGAGACTGTGTCTTGCTCCCTACTGTATCTCTAACACTTAGCAAAGTGTCCCTTACATAAAAAGGTGCTTTAAAAACTACTGTTCTCCTTTCTAAGAGATGGCTATGTTAGGTTCTAAGGAAATAGAATCTGAACAAATATGTCTGCAGCTGAATGGCTTTTTAAACATCTATTGAGTCTTACTATGTACAAAACTGTAATACAGATTACTTTCACCCTTATCCTTTCATAGCCAGCCAAGTATCTGGAAAATGCATATATTTTCAATACTGTACTATAACAATGCAGGATACATGTGAAAAATTTAAACTTTGTTATTCAAATAGAACAATTACCGTATATATTTTTAAGACTTTCACAGAAAACTCTCAAAAGAAATACAGTAACAATTGTATTAAATGCAGACGAGTTTAAAAAGAGAGGAACATTTAAAAAATATATTATCCAGTATTTTACTAATACTTTGTTGGCACAGATTCTCTCTTTTCAGTGACAGCCTGAATTAAGAGCCTACTATCTGACTTGTAGTATCATCACCCCTCTTTTAAAGATTAGGAAACAGAGGCTCAGAATTTAGTGACTTGCCTGAAGTCGTATTACTAGTAAGCAGTAGACCAGGAGTTTTAAATCAAGACAGATTCCCAAGCCATGCTAACTATAATGCTGAAGAGTTGAGTGTTACTGACTCATTACCAAAAGAAATAAAATCCTATTTTAATGATTATAATGTCTAATTTTGAAATATAAGCTAAGCTTCCAACCTACCTCTACTGATGTGAATTTATTAATAAACTCTTAATGAATGAAAATTCTATATAGTAGATACCAGTAAAGTTTCTAACAGTTGAAATATTATTATGATATCATTTTTATGGTATAGTATTTACAAGAAGTATATGTGACTGTAAAATTTGAGTTTCCAAAATGATACATAAGGGAAGCATGTCGTATTTTATGTTTCAGAAACTAAAGGGTGTTGGCTGCAACAGAGTCCTATTATCTGATTATTTCATTCTCACATCTTATCTTAGTAATAAATGCAAGAGAAACCCTAGATATTCCAGTATAAGTCAGTGCTTCTCAACACGGGATGAGTCCTCACACCTCCCAGGGAACATATGGCCATGTCTAGAACCATGTTTATTGTCATGATGGTGTGTCATGCAGGTGTGGGGGTGCCACTGGAATCTGCTAGGTAGCACCAGGAATCCAGGAATGCTGTTAAACATCCTATAATGCAAAGGACAGCTCTGCCTGCTTCCAACAAGGAATTAGCCAAATCAAAATCCTCAAGTGCTAAGGCTGAGAAACTCTAGTATAAGGGATTAAATGTCTGAGGCACTTAGCAGAGGAGGCAGCATGAGTGTTTAGAGACTGTAACTATAAACACTAAAACAGAGAGTCCAGATAGCACTCAAGCCTTGAGGAGCACTGGTATGGGGGCAGCTTCCTGCCTCATTAGATTTAAAGTGGGTAAACAGAACGTGATAGCAGCTTCTATCAATACTCTCACCTTTAACAGTTGTGAATTTTTTTTTCTGATAAAAGAACAGATAATTGAAAAAGCATAAGTAAAAAGAAAAGTTTTTTGGAGATATGAGAAACCTCATTAAACTGCACACAGTTCCACTACCAACTTACTGGGTGTTTCTATTACTTACAGTAGGAACCTAGAGGGTTATAATCTAAAATCAGAACAATGGGTGTTGTGGACACACCATAAGAAAGTCAGAATACATAAACATCCATGTGCTTCATTCTGATCATTATTCTGAAGAACAAACATGATTTCAGGAAACCTGGCTTTGAGCTCCCAAATGTATAAATGCCCTGATGATATACTATTGTTTCTTCTTGGGCCTCCCTTCCTCTGAATATGGGGACTGTCTGTCAGAAGAGGAAACAGTAAAAACCGGGCACAGAGCAAACTCTGAGACAGCACGGACCTAAAACAAAAATCAGAAAACAAAATTTCCCCCAGTGTTGCCTTGCTCTGCATGGCTGAGTTTTAACTCTTAGGTACTTGTTCCTTTTCCTTTACTTTTCTGTTGGAGCCCTCACTCTTCAGTCCTTTCATGTTACTTTTCTTTCTACCGTCAATCATATTTCTTCACCAAAATCTTTTTACCCTCTTTTGATCCCCATTTTCACTCCCATTTCCTTTTTTCCAACTGTTTTCCTTTACCCTCTCAATAGTGTCAACTAGCACTGGAATTATATAATGGGAATTTTGGAGTTGAAAACAGACTTCAGGGCTTACCTATTAGTAAACGCCCAGGATGCCCACCTCTCTTCATCATACCCACGCCACTAACAAGTGGTTAGCTGACTCAGCTTAAACACATTAAGATCACCTCTATTAACTTTCAGACACCAGGAATCACCTGTTCCCAACTAAGAGGTATTGAAAGACTGTTGGTGAGATCGAAACAGAGCAACAGAATCAACCGATCTGAATTGCTCTTGCTTCACAGATACCAACTACTTATCATCATCAACATTAAATAGAAAAAAGCTCACCATCCTAAACTACAGTTGACCAAATCTGCAGGCTTAAGCTCTTTGAAAATTTATCTTTTGATAGACTCAAATATCTATGTGCAGACACGATTCATCTAAGAAGCCTTGTTTGACATTTTGTCAGAATAAGGAATGACTCATTAAATCCCCCAAACGGCACGCAAAGTATGTTTTACCCTCCTACATTGCTTAGGTTTGTTCTCCCCTTAAGTACATAAACAATAGAAGATACTGATTAATTGAGAAGATCCCGGATCATGTTGGGTAAATACGGTACTGTACTTCATACAGTAAAGGCTCGTGGGGTCTGGGCAGATGCATGAGCCCAAAACTAAAGTGATTTATTATCGTGCAATAAAGGAAGTAGATCCTAATTTGTTCTGTGCCGGCCTCCCCCTAAAGGGCAGCGGGGTGCAAGTCCCATAAACCCAGTCGTGCCGTTGTCTAGTTTAAATGAACATCTCCAGCGTTCCACCGAAGTTTGAACGGTTCCTGGAGCTTCGTCTCCGGCTGTTGCTTCCCCAGAGAAGCCCCCTTCAACTCGCCCCGGGCGGAGGGCGCGCAGCCTCCCAGCCCGGCCGCTGAGCCCGGCGGGCCCGCACGGGGTCCTCGCCGTGTCGACCCCGCCGCCGCGCCCTTACCTTGGTGAGCTGGGCGATTTTCTTGCTCATTTTCAGGTGCAGGTCCTGGCTATAGTCCATGCTGTGCCCCGCCTGCTGCGCGGCGGCCGGCGAGGGCGCGAATTTGGACGCTCCGGCCGCCGAGCCGCCGTAATAGTGCTGCTGCCAGCTCATGCCCGGGGTCGCCATCTTCCCGACAGACCCCGGCCGGGGCACCTGTCCTCGCGCTACGGGGGCGGCCCGCGGAGCAACGGCGTCTGGGAGGCAAAAGCCGGGGCGGCCGTTTCCGGACCCGACCCCCGGTGTCTGTCAGGTGCGGCCGCAGGCGCCCTCCGGTCCACGACCCTCCAGTCACCCCCGTCCAGGGACGGGGCAGCCCCGCCGGATCGAGGCCGCAGGCGACACCCACGCGGGGCAGACGCCCGGGGTCCAGCAGCGCGGTCCCGGGCCCAGCCCGCTCTCTCCCGCTCTTCAGGTGACGTCTGGCGGAGGCGTCGTGGGCAGCGTGGCCCCGCAGGTCCCGCTCCCACCCGGCACCAGGGACCTAGCGAGAGGCCGCCGCCGGAGCTGCGGAGGAAGGAGGAGACGGGGCGGGCTGGTGCGGGGAGAGGCGGGGACACGGAGGAGGGCTCGGGAGCCGCGGAGCTGCCGTTACCAGGGCGCGAGGCCCGCCGAGCTCGCGGGGACGGCGACGTCATTTCTCCGCAGCCAAGCCCCGCCCCGCGCCGCCAGCCCCGCATTCTCGCCGGGTACAGGCGCTTCGGGAGGGCCTGCTGGGACCTCGCCGCCAGGTACTTCCCCCTACGGTGGGGGTCCCCAAACCCCCACCTGGGCGGTGAGCCCCGTGTGCCGCGCGTGCTGTTCTACGTAAAAAAATCAGCGAAAGAGGACAGGGCTATCTGTGGTCTTTTCGGTTTGCAGAACGCGTGCCGAATTACTGAGGCTTTCCACGCGCAAGGTTGCGTGCACTGGGGCCAAGGGGCTCTTCCCCAAGAAGGGCGTCAAGCTCACATCCAATTCCCTCCCAAGGCCGGCCTCAGCACCTCGGACATGGGTAATGAAATAGCCCGGAATACAATAATCCCTGCCATGACCCTTTCAAACTCCTACAAATATGATGGTCACAATGTACTAGGCCGACCACTGTCCTAAATTCAACGCTAGTATCTGTGTGTGGAGAGAGTACAACTCATCAGTCAATTAGTATGGCACTACACTCCTACTTTTTCCCAGTCTTAATGGAGACCGAGACAATTATATATGATATCTCGTTGGCTGGAAGTAAAGGGGAAAAACAGAAGATGGAACAAGATGCCAGCCCCTTAAGGATTTGGGGCTGAGCCAAAGTGTGTCATTACTTGTGCATTTTCACCTTTCTAAATGTGTTATTTCCTACTGATTGTCTCCTAACATCTCTACTCCTGTAGGTCAAATGATTTTTTTTTTAAGTGTATCCTATGTTGAAGTAAATCAGTTGTTTTAGGACAATCTTACACAAACTTTAAAAATGTAGAATTGTACCTATTTTAAAAACTCTTTTCTCCAGGCAGTTTTGCAGAACTGAATTCCCCCATGTTATAATATGTGATTTCTCTTTAGCATGCAACTAACAATCATAGAACCTGACATTATTAACAAATCCAATTGGCAGCCAAATTATCATAAAAGTGTCTGTTACAAAATCTAAACCAACAAGGTGAAGATTGAATAGCATCATGAAATACTTCCAGAATTGTTGGAATTCCAGAAAGGAAGACTGAAATTGGCTACAACTTTTCCCAGATGCTAGGTACTCAGCACCCCCCCCCATTCCTCCATCCCCCATAGACCTTCCAGAAAATAAGTTGTCTAGTTCCAAGGTTCTGAATGGAGCAGATGGCCAGAAACAAATATGCAAATTCTGCTCTGTTCTTAAGCTCTAATAATTCAATGAAATTAAAGAGAATTAGGAGCTAGTGTTATTTCATCAAATTCTAGGCATAGAAGATTCACAATCACTTTAGATTTCTTAAATCCTTTACATTCTAGGCAGAAACGTATGCTCCAAAGACTCCCTGTTTCCTTAAATTTTTATAACTAAGTCTCACTAGGGCAAAGAAGGTGTTTCTGGTTTTGTCTCTATGATATAGTGGAAAGAGTATAATACTGGAAATAAGGAGACCAATGTATAGCCTCAGCTGAGTCACTGAGGCTATTTGCCCCTCAAATGCGTCCTCTGAAATGAGACAATATTTATCGGTCTCTTCCTACTCTAACTTGGCAGTTAGAGATTGAGGCCCTGGTTTACACTGAACCCTATCACATGAGTTCCTGCCATCACTATACAGCATAGCTTGAGAGGACCCTTTTCCTCAATATTATGCTTACAAGACACCCAGTGTCATTCCGTGAATTTAATATTTTTTGCCCTACCACAAAAGGATAACACAGGTCATCTGGTATAGAGTTCTATTCAATTATAAATAACAAATGGAAACATAATAATATAATACACCCATAATCCTATTACCTAGAATCTCACTTTTTAAAAATCCAGTAAATGAGGTGTGCAATAGGAGAGAAACAGGAAAAGATAGTTAGGCAAGATAATCTTTATTTAGTACGTGTTTCTCTCACAAGATGGTTTATGCAGAAATATTAATCGAATGCCTATTGTGTGCCAGGTGCTCTGTTAGGTGCTGAGGCTGCAGTAATGACTAAGGATCAGTCTCTATTCTCAAAAAGTTAGTAGTCTAGTGGAAAAGACTGGCAAAGAATAAGGTGCAATGCAATGTGGTGTTAAAGGAAGAGGGACACTTAACCTCGCTTGAGGTATCAGAGAAGACCTCACACACACACACACACACACACACACACACACACAAAGGCAATAATTGAACAGATTTCTGAAGGATGAGTTTTTCGGACAAAAAGGGGTGGTAGGAAAGTGAACTACAAGCTCTGAGGATAGCAAGGGCAAAGCCCTGAAGATGAGAGATAACATAATCTACTTAGGGAACAGCAAGAGGTACAATATGGCTGGAGCAAAGAGTTTGATGGGATGTCAAAATATGAGATAAAGCAGGTATCAAGATTATTCGTGGGGGGGAGGGCTTATTTGCCTTGATAAGGGGTTGGGTCTTTATTTTGAAAGTAATAATGAGGCACTGAAGGGCTTTATGCAGGAGAATGAAATAATCAGATTTGCACTTTAGTAACATAATTCTTGTGACTATGGAAAATGGATTTCAGAGGCAACTTTATAGGCAAGGAGACTAGTTATGAGGCTATTGCACTTATTGAAGTGAGAGAGTATAAAACATTGACTTAAACTATAGCAGTGAGAATAAAAAGAAATGGATGTATTTGAAACATCCATAAGGTGAAACAGACAGGACTTTGAGGCTGAGGAAGAGAGGATGGTCAAGGGTGCCCCCTGAGATGGGCTAGAGGAGGGACAGGTGGGAAAAGTAATAAGTTCAGAGTAGAACGTGTTACCTTTGAGGTGCCTGTGGGACATCCAAATGGAGATGTTCAGGTGCAGTGCAATATAGAATAGGAGAGGTAATATAGTAATTAAATTTGAATATAACAGGAGAAGGTAAATATTGCTTACAAGAGACCAGAAGCTATTGGTATATGAAAAGAAACATCTGTCTAGGCAGGTTGTCATCTATGACATCCTAGAACTTCTCTATGAAGAGGAGTCAAAACCCATGGATGGTCATAACCCAGGGCCAAAGGGAACAATACCGGAGACATGGGCTCATAGTAAAGCAGGAGTAGAGGCTGGTGCAGGGGAACAGTCACTGAAAGTAAGTAGAGGAATAAGCTGGAAGTAAGAAGAATTATTGCCTATTAGAGCTGGAAGAGAACTTCAAATCCAAATCCATTATTTTATACATATTGAATATCAGAAAGTTTGAGTTGCACAGATTTTCAAAACCAATAAGTAATAGAGCTAGATTATGACCTAGGTATTTTAAACCCCAGTTCTTTCCGTTTTACTAAATAATAGTTTAAAAATATTTATAGGAGAATCTCTGTTCTGATATTCTTTGACTAGCAATTTCTTATTCTAAAACTTCCATGCACTGATATTTCAATTATGATTTATATTTGGAATGATGTCTCCCAGGCTCTCAAATTCCCTACACACTTCCTGAATTATTAGAGGTGTTTTGGGGAGGGAAGAAGAAAGTGGTAGTGGTGGCAGTAAAGGCTGGTTAATAATGAAGCTAATGAAGCTTCCATGACTCTTTCCAGAAGGGGCCCTAACTAGTGATAACATGGTTACAAGATTTAGTAAAAAATTATGAAAATCACTTCTGTGTATTTTTCTCTCAAGTCTCCCAAATTGTATATACTTCAGACTCCAGAAAACCTAGGTTAACCCAACCAGCAGTATCTGAAGTTAAAAATTAATATTAGGATTAAAATGTGAGCTTATAAGTTAGTAGACGAAGGGCATCTAGGTGGCTCAGTTGGTTAAGCGTCTGCCTTCAGCTCAGGTCATGATCCCAGGATCCTAGGATTAAGCCCCACATCAGGCTCCCTGCTCAGCAAGGAGCCTGCTTCTCCCTCTCCCTCTGCTGCTCCCCCTGTTTGTGCTCTCTCTCTGTGTGTCAAATAAATGAATAAAATCTTTAAAAAAAGTTAGTAGACCAAAGCACAGGCAACAAAAGAAAAAATAGCTACATTGGACTTCATCAAAATTAAAAAATTTTGTGCATCAGAGGACATTATCAACAGAGTAAAAAAGGATCCCACAGAATGGGAGAAGATATTTGCAAATTATATATCAGATAAGGGAATAATATTCAGAATTTTTCTAAAAACTCCTATAACTCAATAACAACAACAAAACAATCAGATTTAAAAATAGGCACAGTCACCTGGCTGGCTTAGTCAGTGAAGCATGCAACTCTTGATCTGGGATCATAAGTTCAAGTCCCACGTTGGGTGTGGAGATTACTTTTAAAAAATGGGCAAAAGACTTAAATACATATTTCTCCAAAGAACATATACAAATGGCCAATAAACACAAGAAACGATGCTCAAGATCACTAATAATTAGGGAAATGTGAATCAAAATCAAAATGAAATACTACTACACACCCATTAGAATGACAGTTGTAAAAACAAAACAGAAGAGAAAATAAGTTTTATGAAGAGAAATTGGGCCCCTTGTACATTGATGGTAGGAATTA